CCTGATCCTGCTGCCGCTGATGCTGCTGCTGCTGCTGCTGCTGCTGCTGCTGCTGATGATGATGATGATGATGATGACGATGATGATAATGATGATGATGATGATGATGATGATGATGACGAAGATGATGACGACCATGACGACGACGACGACGATGATGATGATGATGATGATGATGATGATGATGATGATGATGACATAATGGATAATGGTGATGATGGCAATGTCAACAGTGGACACGTGGGCGGGCAAACAGGAATGGAAACCTGCTTCTGATGGTGATGATGGTCCTGAGATGATGATGATGATGATGATGATGATGATGATGATGATGATGATGATGNGGGTCACATCGAAAGTCTTTACCAATTTCAAAATAAAAATAAAAGTTTAAAAATATTATTTTTATTTTTATTTTTTAATTTTTTTTTGGCCCGGCCGGGCAAATGACCCCGGGCCACTCTGGTAGCCTAGTGTAATATATATGACTTTTTTTTTCTTAGTCATATACCTGCAGACTTGTCCAGCGGAGACAAGTCTGCACATCAGCTATCATCTCTTTACTTGAAATCGATGAGATGCGAACATGTCTGGCAGACATGCCTACCCAGAGTGCGCTGGCCCGCCAAACATGTCAGCAGAAACTGAAAGAAGCTTTGCATAGGCAAGGGGGCCTTACAAAAAATGGTGGGGGGTGATAAGTGTGCAAGGCAAGGGGGGGTACAAAAATGCTCTACTGATGAAAGGGGCTAGGGAGTAAGGGTTTTTTTTCAACTCCCAAAATGCTCTGCAGAGGGGATGAAGGGGGACCACTGAGAATATGGGGGGGGTTAGTTTTCTTGGGGGGGGGGTTCATGCTGTGTGTTTGTGTGTGTATAAGACCCCTGCACTTGTGGTAGGGCACGTTGCACCCACAGTGCATGTCAACGACACTTGAAAGAAGAGCCGACAACCCAGTATGCCCAAGGAAGGAATGCCAACAACATCGTGGAAAGGTCTCATGACGCAGCAGAGTAGAGAACAAGAGAAATGTAAGTACATAACTAAAGAACGGGAAAGAAGAACAAAAACAGAGCCAAAAAAAACTAAATTGATGAGGATGGATTGTTTCGTCGGAGTTGCACCACCTGATCAGGAGGCTGAAACCTCGACAATTTGCGGAATCCGCATATTGATGCTTTAAGTCATGGACTCTTTGACTCATGTTGGAAGCAGACGGACTGCAGCACAAGTGGCAAAGCAACGACACAGCGACGCACAAGGCAGCACTCATAGAGACAGAGCAAGGCAAACTATACGGCAAACAGGTACGCCACATGTAGAGACAGAGCAAGGCAAGCGGATGGGGAACTGGACACAGCACAGCGAAACACAAGGCAGCGCGAACAAAGCAGCCAAACTGCAACTCGCACAAGAGCACTGGATGGAATGACAAGGCATGCAAGTGGGCAACAAGGCAACAGCGCAGCAAAGCACCAGGCAGCCAAACTACACGGCAAACAAAAGCTGCAAGGAAAGACCTGGGAGGCAAGCGGCATGAGCGGCGAGGCAGTGAAGAAGGGAAGATGCAGTCGACACATCCAACACAGACCACAACAATCCATCACCTACTCACACCACAAGTATAACTCTGCAGACTGTTGGTTCCCACCACCTGCCGAGCCAGGAAGCCACTTCAACGGACATCTATCATCACCCATAGACTGTATGCATCACAGACATCATGAGCAGAGGGCCCCCCCCTAAGGTCGTCCAGGCACTCCACACAACCTGCCGCCGACTGCTTAGCACTTCTTAGAGGTGCTCACTTAGACACACAGAAAGTGCTTAGAACAAATCAAGAAACAGGAAATCTTCAAATACATACATCAAACATTTTGTGTGTGTGTGTGTGTGTGTGTGTGTGTGTGTGTGTGTGTGTGTGTGTGTGTTGTTTTAAAGGACGACTCCAGATTATCTCTCTCCTTCCCTTCAGAGATCATCACAAGCCATCCATAACGAAAAAGTATAGATAGGCAATATAATAGAAAATGCAAGGTTGGCCACGTTTGTGTGGTTCAGCGCCAAGTGCCCACACACCCGCCTGCCGCCAAAGTGGCACACTTGCACATATACATATGTATTCATATATATGTCAAACCATAAGGGGATGGAGGGAAGAAGGCAACTTACCAAAGACAGAAGACTACTCCAGCAAGAAGGCACCGACCCGACCCCCTCAAAGGTCCGAAAAAACTTGGAGAGCCTTCCGCATCGGCGCACAAAACCAAAAACTCATTTATCAAAAATGAACAAATATAACAGCATTGGCATTCCCGACATTCATCTCAAACTACACACTTACGTCACTGCCGAAGGAAGAAGACAAGAGACAACTTACCTAATACAGAAGACTCCTCCAGCAAAAACGCACCTCTGTGTGTGTGTGTGTGTGAGAGAGAGAGAGAGAGAGAGAGAGAGAGAGAGAGAGAGAGAGAGAGAGAGAGAGAGAGAGAGAGAG